AGGACAACAACACCAACAGACTGAGGGAGTCGCTGGACCTGTTTGAAAGCATCTGGAATAACAGGTGATAAATACAACCCACCACTGGATCGCAGATCTTTTTATTAAAAATACATCCAGAAGACTACAAATGCTTTCGTTGTTGTTGTTAAAAGTACCTACTTTGACCAAGTGTGTCTGCACATGCCTGTGCTCCTAATGTTAGGAAGGCTAAATCAAGAGGTGCCTAGTTCAAGGCCAGTCTGGGCTATATAACTAAATCTCATAAACTAAAAAAAAAAAAAATGTGAGGGCAAGGAGATGGTTCATTGGGTGAAGAGCATGACATGCAAGCATAAAGACTTGAATTTGGATCTCCAGCACCCACCCCACCCCACCCAAAAAAAAAAAAACCTGAACATCACCTTGAGCACCTGTAACCTAAAAGCAGGGAGGCAGAGGCAAGCAGATCCCCAGGGCTCACTGGCCAACCAGTCTAGCCAAAATGGCCAACTCCAGGCTCAAGGAAGAGACCCTGCCTCAATCTAAGTACAGGATTATTTTGAGAAAAATTTATATATCAGCCTCTGGCTTCCACTAGTTCCCACACACACATGTGTGTGCACATGCACACACACATGTAAATCCTCAACTTTAATAAGCCTTTCATCCTGTCTGATAGACATACTTAACATGGGGACTCTTCTTTGATGGAGCTCTTATAGGTGGTTGGTTAGGGCTTTTTAAATCTGCCATAAAAGTCTCAGGTTATATCAGAATTCAAAGTTTTGTTTGCTTGCTTTGACCTGGCATCTCCCTATATTACCCGAGCTGGCCTTAAACTTTCAATCCTCTGGCCTCAGTCTCCTGAGGGTTACTAGGATTACAGGTATTTGCCACTGTGCCTGATTGACTGTTTGTTTGTTTTAAGAACCCAGTTTAGAATGCTCACGGATAACTAGATGGTCCCTACAATCCCTACAGCTCAAAGCCATAGCACAGGCATAGGATACTCCCAGAATCCCAAGGGGCAGAAGTGATTATGTCAGGAAGGAATGTTCAACATACACCCCATTGCCGACTCATGCAGTTAAAAACCAGGTTCTCATAAAGTTTTCAGGAAAATCCATCCCTAGGGAGTATGAAAAATAAAAGTAGACCTTGAATATTATTCATATGAGTCTAGAGAGATGGCTACGTGGCTAAGAGTACTGGCTACTCTTCAGCAGGACCATGGAAGATTTCTATACTCACATGGCAACCAACATGGCTGCCAGATGGCAACCTGGTAATCCTGGTCATTGTAACTCCAGTCCCAGGGGATCTGACATCCTCTTCTGGCCTCAGCGAGTACCGGACATGCACATGGTGCACTGATAATTCATGCAGACAAAACATTGATACACATGCAATAAATCTTATTTAAGAATTTAAAGTTTGTATTGTTGAATAAGTATCTCTCTGTCAAGTGTTCAACTACCATCCTCCTTTATGGTTTCAGAGTTAATGGGAAAGAAATAGGGCCAGGAAACGCCAGGTGTGAAGAATGAGCATTCTTCGGAATGGTTGTCAGTGAGCACACACAGCAAAGCATCCACCTTGTTGCAAATTGGGAAGAAGACTAAAAGTTCCCAGCTGAGCAGGAGAACCTTCATAAATTCCAGGCTAGAAGACCCTCTCATTGAAACAGGGAGTGGATGGATCAGCACAAGGGATATAGCTCAGTCAGAGGTAGAGTGTATGCCTGGGCACAAAGCCCTGGGTCTGATCCCCAATACTGAATCAAAAATTATAGTCTTGACTTTATAAATATGCATGAGAAACTGTCTCAGTTTAAAACATCCACTCTATGCGCCCCCAAAGCACTAGGGTATGGGATGAGCAGCCCTATCCAAAATGCTCAGGACCACAAGTGTTGATCTTAGGATTTTTTGAATTTTGGAATATTTGCTTATCTGGGAGATGTGACTCTATTTCATTAAAGACAAAACTCACTGAATATTGGAATACATTTCTATGTACCTAAAATACATAACCTGAGGGATTTGATTGACCTGTAGCATGAAGATATTGTGGAAGTTTCTATCTGTAGTATGAAGTCAGTACATGAAGGTTAGCAAATATGGGATATTTGAGATTTTATTTATTCAGAATAGGGATGCTTAGTTGCTATTCAAATGTGCTACTTGGGATTTCCCTTGTAAATGGTTCAGAGGTTGATTTTCTGTTAAAGATGGGCCATGTAAGGAAGGGCTGTGGGAGAACAGCAAAACGGCAGTGGGACACTGCATGATGGTGTGGTCATAGCTAACACAGATGACCCTGAATTCCCGATCCTCTCACTGTCACCTCCCAAGTGCTGGGATTGCAACAACGCATGACCACACATGGCCACTGATTTTCCTTTGTGTGTGGTGCATGCAGACGAGTGTGCAGGTGCACACACTTTCAGAAGCCAGAGCAAGACGGCCAGTGTCTTTCCTTACCACTCTCCTTGCTTTCTGAGCAGGGTCTCTTACTGAGGCAGAACCTTCTCATTTTAGCTTGCCGGTGAGGTCCGCCTGTCCTAGCCCCCAATGCTGGAGTTACAAGTACACACATATCTGGATTTTTAAATTTTATTTATTTATTTATTATTTATTACTGTGCTGGGGATTTGAACTTAGGCCTCATGCTTTCACAGCAAGCACTGCTGTCTCCTGAGCCTCTCCCTAGCCCCTCTCTCTTCCTCTTGGTCAAGAGTAAAGTGTGTCCTTTACGGCTAAGTTGAGGTTGGATCTTGTTACTGGTTCACAATTCCATGGAGGAAAATGACCTAGTTTTAGACTGAAACTCAGACACAACTTTTTCTTCCCACTTCAGTAAATAAGGTCAGTTCATCTTTCCACACTCCTTTCACTGTTATTATTGCCACGCCCTCAGCCTCTGATTCACAGAAGGCGGGAGAAGGTTCTTGACTCGTCATCAGCCCACAAGGAGGGGGTTGTGTCCACTTAGCTGGATTTCCACATTCCCTGGCCGTCACCTTGACCATCTTACTGGTCTCTTTGTCACAAAAGGTAGCATATTTATAAAGTCTGGAATCCGGGCATCTATCTGGGGACTTGCTCCTGCTACAAAGTGTCCATGCAGCCTCTGGCTTCAGTGTTAAGTGTGGTTCCTGTATTTCTGTTTCTCTAAATCTCCCCCTAAAGACAAATTCCAAAATTTGCTATGAAGCCAAACCTCATAAATCCTGTCATTTGCTTGTAAATACTTCAGTAATCTTCTCTGATAGGGACCTTAGGAAAACAGGGCTAAAAGCAGACTGCAGGGGAGCACACATCGGGTTCAACAGTTTGAGGCCGATGATGCAGTCCGAGGATGAACTAAGAAGAAAGGCACTGTCTCACCAAAACCAAAAAGACACGATCAAGAAAGCATTCTTTAGAAAGATAATTAATAATTATCAAATGTCGTTTAACATTCAGCCTATGTTTATATTTCCCAATTTGTTCACAAATATCAAAAAAAAAAAAAGAAAGAAAGAAAAAAAAAAAGAAAAAAGCCTGATTGGAGACCTCAGGATTGCTCTGTGGATGAAGGCACTTTGTAACCAAGTCTGATGATCTGAGTTTGATCCTTGGTGACCATATGGTGGAAGAAGGGAACCTCTGGTAAGTTGCGCTCTGCTTCCTTTTGCACCAATGGTGTGAGTAGGTGCACTGGGGCGGGGAAATAGGTAAATGTAATGAAGTTTCTTTGTATCAAGTCAAATCATCAAATAAGGCCCACAAACTACATTTTGCTAACTTGTATCTCAAGAAGTCTCCTTCTGACAGCAATCCCTCTGACCCTGCTCCCCCCCACCCCGCGCGCCTTTTTATTTTCTGGTGGCCTTTACAATTTTTATTTAAATTAAGAAAAAGCCTTTTCAAGACAGGATGCTTAGTGCCAGGCCAGGAATCTGCTGCCTTAGCCTCCCTGAGAGCTGAGACTCTGGAGTGTTCCACCACGCCCAAAGGCATGACGTCTACTTTTGAATCAAGTTTGTTTATAGTCTTCAGGAGCTTTGCTTTCTGGTTCCGGCTCATGGCTTCCTGGTGTGTTATCTACCCAGCATGCTCTTTCGGCTCCATCGCCATTATTTTTTAAGCCCTTTCTTTGCTGGATTTAGCCCCCCTAGCACACCCCTGGATTTCTATGGCATTACATCAGTACGGAAATGCCTTACTTTCGTGATGTTAAAGTTGCTCACCTGAGCAGAGTTGGAAAGACTTATAGTCTTTTTTTTAGTAGACAGCGACCATTTCCTGCATGCTTAAGGCAGCCCAGGCACTCTGCAAACCATACTCAGATTTGCGGAACGCAACAGCGTTTGTTGGCTGGAAGTCAGAGCATAGTTTCGCACTTAATGTGCTTCTTGAATCATGGGTTAAAGACCCCGGTGCTGTTTTACAGGCTTAATCTAAGAATTATCTAAAATAGTGGATGTGCGAGTACCCAAAGTTCAAGATGCGACGTTTTGTTGTCACTAAAAAGAAATAGGACCCCACAACAAACCTTTGGCTGGCTCATTTACACACGACGCCTTCCGGAGTATTTTTGCAAAAGCACTTTGCCGGGCTCCGCGAAGGCAAAAGACTGAAGACATAATCGCTCGAAGAAGCCGGCCGGAAGGACTCTCGTGGCTTCCTGCATTGATTCCTTAGACAGTGTCACCTCGGGCTGGGACTTTGGCCTCGGGGTGGCAGGCGCCACTGCAGCCGCTGTGCAGGGCGCAGGCAGGCCTCGTGGTCCCAGGCGCGCGGCTGGGTCCCCAACGGGCCCATCCTCCATTCGTACTTCACCACCGGCGTCAGGCCGCTCCCTCCTGCCGCCGCCCTATGCAGCGATCCCCGGCTGGAGGAAGGACGCAGGAGGGCCCCCGGAGGATGGCACCGGAGAGGTGAGGCCGCCGCACCCCGGCACCCCGCGTAGGTTTCCACATTTATCTCCCTTTGCTCTCCCAAGGCACCAGCTGCGGAGCCTCCTGCAACCTGCGTTCCACAATCTGGGCGCCGGCATTGCAGGGCTCCTGGTTTCCAAGATGACTGACACCTGGGCTCCACTGTCCAGGTTTGGGACTCTAGCGCCAGCCGGGGTCCCTCAGGGCTGCTACCGAGGTCCCCGGGCAGGTCATAGGATCCAGGGTCTTCCCCGGACTTTTCTTCCTCGGCTTTGCGCCCTGCAGAGCGCCGCGGTAAAGAAAGGTGGAAGAGGGTGGGTCCTGCGGCCCTGCCACAGTCATACTTCAAGGTCAACTGCCGTTTTTTTTATTAAATGTTTGGAATTTCATGGCCTTGGTACTACAGCAAGTTAAATCTCTGATAAAACAGCTTTCTGCTTTATTTAGTCACTGAGAGAGTTGTTGACTTATAGGACTCTCTCAACTATTCTTCGGCTTGAAAAAAAATCCCATTATTTTAAAAGATCACTTAAGAAGCAAATATTCATAAGAAAATAGCGATTGCTGAGATTGTGTTATTTATTTAAGGTTATAAACAAGCAGGAGAGGTGCATTTAAGTATTACTTTTGGTGATACTTTGGAGAAGATTTTAAATATTTAATGATAGCTTTGAAATTAAGAATCAGTCAGGGAAGGAAAAATATCTTGTTTTCAGTTGTAGATTGTGGCAATTCATTTGTGTTGTGTCTCTATTTGTTTTGCATTTTACATCGTAATTCAAAAAATTTGTGTGATTTTTTTTATCAATTTGGCACAAACCTAGACATATTTGGGAGGAGGAAATATCAATGGAGGTATTGCCACCAACACCATCCCAACCCAACCCTCCACTTCCCCACCCCTTCCTACCCCTCCACCTCCTCCACCCCTCCCTTCCCACCCTGGGCAGATTGGACTGTTGGCAAGTCTGTGGGGCATTTTCTTGGTTAATGATTGATGAGGGAGGGACCTGGGCCACTGAGGCACCCCTGGGCACCTAGTATAAAAAAGCAAAGTGAACAAGCCAGGACTAGAAAGTCGGTGTTCCTCCATGGTCTCTGCTTCAGTTGTTTCCAGGTTGCCTTGAGTTCTTGCCTTGTTTTCCCTCAATGAACAATAACCTGGGGTATATAAACCAAATAAGCCCTCTCCTCCCAAAGTTGCTTATGGCTATGGTGTTTATATAGAAACCAAAGCAAGACAACTCGATTATGATGTGGGGAATCCAAAAGTACTCCTCACTGAGCCACATTACTAGCCCTAGAAAGAATGGGTCTTGAATGTCATAATGCTAGTCATTAGAAAAAAAAAATCAGCTTTCTTTTTGCTTTCACAGTCGGGTTTCTTGTTGATAGTTCACTAAATAAAATCTAATTCAGCATCAAAGCACATTTTCTGTTTTGTTTCAGTTGACTGTAGTCTGGTTTTGGGATGCAGATGCCAGCTTGGAACCTTGGTACCCAACTCAGCCTAGGAGCAGCATTCTTTAAATGGTGAGGTGGCTCTGTGGGCAACCTGGGCAAGCAGGGATCACAAGGGTCTCTCTCTCTCTCTCTCTCTCTCTCTCTCTTTCTTTCTCTCTCTCTTGATTTAAATCTAAACCCTCAGACCTTTTTAGTTAGGAAGATAGCTTCTCACATGCTTGGATCAACTGAGTGGAGTAACCAAGAACTTACCTCAGTTTCCCACTTATTTCCTTCTGAAAACTTCTCCCAAAGAGCCTCAAAGGAGGACTGCTGTTAATTCCTCCTAGGGGTGAGCGAGCCTGGATGTTCCTCTGTCGAGTTACACATGGGATGGCTGAAAAATCGTTCTGTGTACCTACCTACTTAACAACCTTTAAATCTTCTCGTCAAAACCCCACAGGAGTAACCTGTAACTCTCCACTAGTCGCCATGGCTGTAGTTTTGTTGTTACATCCTTAGTGTCAGGTGGTGAGGGAAGATATATACATTCTTCACACACACACACACACACACACACACACGCACACGCACACACGCACACATGTAGGCACGCACGCACACACACCCCTGCACACCTAGGATTGAGTTCCTGCCTGGTGCATACTAGGCACACATTCAATATTGAAGAAACCTCAAGGTCCTTACAAATTATTTTGAATCAGAATTTGACCAAGTTGCTCAGGCTAATCATGATTTTGTGGTTACCTCAGCCTCCTGAGTAGTGCTGGGATTATGGGCACTACTGTTTTCCAGGTGTTGTATTGTTTTGAGAGGCATGGTGGCCTTGGTGGTGCTATTTCTAGGGAGAGAAGAAGCCCTTTCCCTTCGCATCCCCTCCTTGTGACTGTACTTATTTTAGAGAAAGCAGGGGCATATTTTACCTGTAATATTGTAGACAACATTGGGAATAGGAACTCAGGACATTTTGGGTAGAGGAAGAAAAGGAATTTAGTGTCTGAAGTCATCCAAGTGTATGTTCTTCGCTCTGAATCCCCAGCTGACTTCACCAGGCAGTCTAGGCTGGCCTTGGAATAATCCTGCTGTCTTAGCCTCCATCATGCTAAAACTACAGCATGTGCCACCAATCCTAGCTTCCCCTGACCCATTTCAGATGATCACATATTGGAGAGCTGATTTTTACATGGTACTGAGGTTTTTCTCATGAGAATATGGAGCAGCTCTAGTATGCTTGCTTGTTTGCTCTCTGGTCCTTTTATGTCTTCTTTCTCTCTGTCCCTCTTCCCTTGGCCTCTAAGCCTCCTTTCATTGGATGGGTCTGAGTTGTATACATATGCACACACTCATGTGTACATATGTACATATATGTGTGTGTGTGTGTGTGTGTGTGTGAAACATATATTTTCCTCTGTTGAAAGAAGGTTGACATTTGAAGGCAGGGAAAGTTTTCTCCTTTGCTGTGTTGTATATCCCTCTGCATTGATGTCTTACATGTTAGTTCTTGCAGCAGAGTGGGTGGGACCTGCCGAGTGGGCTCACAGGATTGGCTGAGCTCTGTCTGAGCCTTTGCTCTGAGTTTGGTGCAGGCGAACTGGAGGTCTGCCTCTTAGTGCCCGATGTTCGCCCTCCAGTCTTGCTTGGCCACACCCATAGCTCCTTCATCAAAGCTGCTCAAACAGGGTTCTCTGGTGACAGGAAGTATGTGCAGGAGAGCAATGACCAAGTTACCATTCTGGAATTTCATCCTGTTGGGAAACATGAAAGCTTTTTGATGAGGGCCAGCCAGGTGAGACTCCACGGCAAGGCCACATCCTTGGTGTTGATATGACACAGGCCAGAGGGATGTCCAGATGGAGCCTGCTGCTTTCTCTTTGTGGGCATTGACTTAACACTGGCATTACAGGGAGGAGAGAGGAACAGAGTGGTCGCTCATCCTGTTGTCTAGGCTGGTTTATGTTGTTAGTTGAAGTGCCTAGAGAAAAAAAAAAAGTCATCCCTACATTAAACAATATATAGATCTGATTAATAATTGTGCAGGGTTGGAATATTGCAGACCTGGAGCCAAATTATCTCAGTCCCCTGTGACTCTTAGGTCAACCCCTTTGGAGTATATGGTGGTTTGAGTGGGAATGCCACACCCCATATACATTTGAATGCTTAATCCCCAGTTAGTAGAACTGTTTGGGAAGGATCAGGAATGGTGGCCTGGTTAGAGCAGTTGTGGCCTTGTTGGAGGAGATGTGTCACTGGGGGTAGGATCTGAGATTTCAAAAACGCAGGCCAGGTCTAGTCTCTCTCGGCCTGCTGATCAAGATACGAAACTCTCAGCTACTGCTCCAGCACCAGGTCTGTTTCCTCCATGATGGTCATGGATTAATCCTCTGAAACTGTAAACAACCCCCTAATTAAATGCTTTCTTTTTTTGTAAGAGTTGCCTTGGTCATGGTGTCTCCTTACAGCAGTACAACCGTAGCTAAGAGAACGTATAAGGACAGGCAGCCTGGTTTCCGCTAACTCCAAAACTGAGACTGTCATCAGATCATGTCTGCACCTGATAGCTGATGTGTCCTGACTTTTTAGTAACCCACCTACCTGATGCTTCCACCAATATATTTGAAAATGTCTTGATTTATAATTCTATTTGTTGTGTTTCTATTTAAAAAAAACCTTTCTATTAAAAAACCTCCATATGGGAATGTGGTATGTGGAATGAGTATGTGGAACTCCTGGTCACAAACATTTGGCTCTAGAATAAGCTACCCCTTAATCCTTTTGATATGAGAGCTGTGTCCTTTGCGTCATCCACATCCTGGCCTAGTTTATATTATTATTTATGCTACCATTCGGCACTTAAAGGTGTCTCTAGTTGCAGGAGAAAGCCTGTGGAGATTCTGGTCCCTTGCCTTGATACTTGTGGTTTGGTAGAGAAAACTGAGTGGTAGAGGGTTATCAGTGAATAGGTTAAGGAGCAGGCGGCCACAGTGGCCTGCAACCTGGTGATAACGATGCTGTGGGCCTTCTGGCAAAGGTTCCGGGAGGAGAAGTTGATTCCACATTGCAGGCAAAGGCTGCTTTGGATGTTCTTTGGGGAAAGGATGTACTGAATATGCAACATGCCTGCTATACTATAACCTCTTTAATCAAGTACTTAATATAAATGGAGCCATTTAAATGAAAAAAGAGGAATGAGGGCCTGGGTGTGGCTCTGTGGTTGGGCCAATGGAGAAAAGAGCAGGAGGAAGATTTTGAGTTCACCACCAAAACCTAGACAGAACCTGGCAGGAGTAAGGAAGTCCCCAGGGTCATCCATTTTACCTTCTCTTTTTATCCCCCATCCCTTCTCTCTCTCTCTCTCTCTCTCTCTCTCTCTCTCTCTCTTTTATTTTGAACAATCACAAGGATTAAAGGTGGCCACTAACCTGAGTGGCAGCCGTAGCTTCTTGTTTCTCCATTTTCCAATTCTGCGGCCATTTGTTAACTTTGAACAATGGTTCCAAGTATGTGTTTGCTTGTTTTCTCTCTCTTCTTTGTATTTAGACAGGATTTCACTTTGAAGCCCTGGCTGGCCTGGAATATACTGTGTAGGCCAGGCTGGCCTCAGACTCACAGGAGATCCACCTGCTTGTGCCTTCTGAGTGCTGGGATGAAAGGTGTGCACCTCCACATCTGGCCTCTTTATTTTCCTTTGGATAAGATGTTCAAAGTCTTCCATCCTCTGCATTATGGCTCAGTCCAGAACTGTGGAATGAGCCAGGCTCTTTGATTTCTGTGTTGTGGGGGTGAGGAGTCCTAAGGCCTGGAGATCAGAGACAATTGTTGACACTGAGTGTGTTCACGACTCTATGAACCAACACAGTCTCGGATTCATGTCTAAAAACCAGTTGCATAGACATTTGTTGTTGGCTTTCTCTGTTAGTTCACTTGGGGTCTCTGGTCACTGTTGTCCATGGCCTCACTTCCTAGGGTGGCTTCTCTGATGCCCAGGCCCTCTGGGGCCTGCATCGTCCTTCTCACACACTCCATCCTGAGCTCACACTGAGGGATTCCGAAAACCCTAGAATGAACCTCAAAGTCTATCTCAGGACATCTTTTCACCAATGGTGCTACTTAAATATCTCAAAAACCTGCTGCCTTTACAGAATACAAGATGACCTAAGATTCAGGACGAGCATAGAAACATTCTAAGTGTCCTTCAGAGAAATCCCTGGCACGCCAGGGTCATATGAAAGAAGGCCATCTGGACTTGGAAGATTTATTTGTGGGGCAAACTCATCTTTGTGGAAGCATGCATAAAGAAGTTTCAGAGGATTTTCTTTCCTTCTTCCCTGTAGGTACAGCTCGAGGCTGGGCCCGTCTCCATCACCCTCCTCAGGCTTCCACGGAGGGTTCTCGATGAACTTGGTCCCCTTCTGCCAGCAACCTCGGGGCAGGAGACATGGCTTTCCTCAGGTGGGGACTGGGAAGACAGAACGTCCACCGGTCGAGCAGGGTACTCCTGCTGAAAGTCACAGTCGTCGTCATCTCTGTGCTTCTGCTTTGTGAATATTTCATCTATTACCTCGTCATCTTTCGGTGCCGTTGGCCAGAGGTGAAGAGGCTAGCCCATGGCAATAGCCAGGAGCCTGTACTGAAAGCCATGTTTCTGGCTGACACTCACTTGCTTGGGGAGATAAGAGGCCACTGGCTGGACAAATTACGGAGGTAAGAGGTGGAAATCCTTCTGAGATTCCACAGGCAGAAAGGCATGGCCCTGACTCCACGGGTCAGCTGCAAAGCTTCCGGCTTCAGCTGCATTTCCTTTTAACGAGGCACGGGAGATTTTGAATTTTCTCCTACTAGTTATTAAGTACATATTATATGCAGAGTCCTGCAATTAGGGCGTGGTCTGGGCTGCTGGCTAGTTCTGGGAGTTTGGTGAGTCTGCAAGTCCTGCCTCCTTGTCAGTGGCTGGGTTAGCATGGGGAAACCTCACAACTGTGTGAGGAAGTTACCCACACAGGCTCTGGCATGTGGGAGTGGCCCCTGGGCAGGAGGATACATATCTGCATGGAGTTCCCTTTCATGTTGGTGGAGTGTGAGTCTGAGCACATTGGGTTTTTGGCTCCTCTGGGTAGCCAGAGGCACGAGGCAGGTGTGTTCCTCTCTCCCCAAGGATGGGTGAGGTCTTGCCTCTTCAACTCTGACCTGATCCGGCTTCACCTGTTTTGTTCCCACCAGCAAGCTTTTCTTGTTCTCTATTTTGAATGGAGCTAAAATTCATAGCATTTGCTATCATCTGTTTTTTCACGGACTCACGGTGGCTTTTTTAGTTTCGGATTGCTGTGCAGTTGTCACTACTATCCACCTCCAGATGTTTTCCTCGTGGACGGCGGCTGTATCCACGCAGCATCAGTTACTCACTTTGTTCTCTCTCTTTGTCTCTGGAAGCCACCCTTGTGTTTCCTGTCTCTGTGAGCCTGGCTACAGCCGACTTAACACCTAAGAGGAACCACACAGCATTTTCTTTTCTGTGACTAGCTTCTTTCACTTAGCATGATGTCCTTTAGGGTTCATCCACGCTGTAGCACATGCCAGGATTTTATTCCTTTCAAAAATGAACTATATTCTTTTGTTTGGACCTCATATTTTTGTTTGCTATTGAGACAGAGACTTACTCCACAGCCCAGGCTGGGCTGAGACGCACTGTGAAGTCTTTGTGGCAATCCTATCAGTCTTTTAAGGACTGGGAATACAGGTTCAGCTTGGATCACATTTTGAAAATCCTTTCAGTGGGCAGACACTGGAGTTGGCTACTGTGACAGAGGCATTGATGGGGCTCTTACCAGCAGGCCACTGGTGACCCCACAGTCGTTCCTTATCTTAGCTTTTCATCACTGACACAAAATCCCCGACATAGGATAAAAGGAGATAATATTTATTTGGTTAACGACTGCGGGGCTCGGTCAGCAGTGTTCTCCTATTGTTGGCCATGAGGTAAGGCAAAGTGTCATGGTGGAGGGGACAGCTGAGCAGAACTACTCAGTGTCCTGTGGATAGGAAGCAGAAAGAGGGACCAGAAGGAACCATGAACAGAACCCTCACTAACCTATTCCTTACAGCTGGGTCATATCTCCCAATAATGCCACCATACTGTGAAACCACTCTGGACTTGGCACAACGGTGATGTTCAAACCCTTAGGGACCTTCCACTTCCAAAGCCTGTGAGTGGGTAACCAAACCCATCCCATGTGAGCCCTCAGGGGATGCTGCACATCCAACTGTAACTCTCCTCACCACAGCTTGGTTGTTTTCTAAAAGGGGAGCATTCTTTCAAGAGGCAGTATCCTCAGACACCTGAAGGTATGGTCGACCTGAGGTTGGCAGAGTAGGCAGGTTGTGTGGTGTTCCCAGCGTGGGTGAAAGAGACAGGGGAAAGAAGGGTGAGGGGCTGCCAGGTCTTTCTATGAAGAGTTCTGGCCAATGGAGGTACGAGATAGAGAAGGCCAGAGTGAGACCGCAGTTTGGGGCTTTGTCTGGGGCTTACAAAGGTCAGCCCTCTGGCAGTTTCCCGGTCTGTGTCCTACTGCCCTTTTGCTATTCTCCCACAGAGCTACCTCTGGCTCTGGAATGACAAACCTTTAAGGAGTGATGTATACTGAATATTTGAGGTCTTAAAAAAACTTATTCTCATTAAAATAAAGAAACAACCTTCTTTTATTTCTGTATAGCAGGATGTAACATTCCTCTTTACAGGGGAAGCATCCTGGAGCAAACCATAGGATGAGGGAAGGTGGGGTCATAGGTCAGAGACGGGCGCTGGAGCGGATGAGGGAGAAATGCAGACCGAGGACCAGGGCACCTCTGTGTGCCAGTACTGTCACTGCACAAACACCATCTAGTTTAATCCCATCATGGTCCCTCGAAAGGGGGTTCTCTTCATTTTAAATAAAGAAATTAATTCTTTTTGGAGACAGTCTTTCTATGGAGTCCACGTTAGCCTTGAACTCATGACCTTCCTGCCTCTTCCTCCCAGTGCTGGGATGACAGGAGCACACCCCCATAGTGGTAACTTTTTTTTTAAACAATTATTATTATTTTGTCTTCATTACTAAGAAGACTAGGAATCAGTGGGAATATTCTCAGGGCTACACTTATCAACTGATAATTTTTTTTTTTTTTTTTTTTTGAGGACAGTAGAACCAACCTCTGTTATTTTATTTTATATTTATAGGGGGGGGGGTGCTACAATTGATGTGGGGCCAGTATTCTGTCACTTTGACACAAGCTTATCTGAGGAAAGGCAACCAAAATTGAGAAAATGCCTTCATAAGATTGCTTGCTTGTAGGCAAGCCTATGGGGCATTTTCTTTGTAGTAATTGATGGGGGAGGGCCCCGCCCACTGTGGGTAGTGCCACCCCTGGGCTGGTGGTTGCAGGGAGCTATAAGAAAGCAGGTTGAACAAACCATGGGGAGCAGTGCCTGTGCTGTCGCTGCATCAGTTCCTGCCCCCAGGCTTCCACCCTGAGTTCCTGCTGTGACTTCTCTGGATGGTAGACTGTTATGTGGAAGTGTAAGCTGAAATGAACCATGTCTTCTCCACGTGGCTTTTAGTCAGCGTTTTATCAGAGCAAGAGAACCCTAACTTAGATAGTCTGCACGTGGGACTCAGAGAACTCTCAGAAATCCAACGTCCACCGTGTCAGTCCCAGGAATCGGTTGTCAGCGATTGCCTTTGCCCAGAGAGCCATCTTGATGACTCATAGGTTCCTTTTTCTCCTTTTTTTTTTTTTTTTTTAAAATGAGATAGGCTCACATTATGCAGCCCAAACTGGTCTTGAACTTTCAGTTCTTCTGTCACGGCCTCCTGAAAGTTCAGAGTATAGACCTGCACTGCCACACCAGTCAATACGAAGCTTTACTACTCATTCATTCTAGCATTGCTGAGGACCTGCCACATGCACACGAGAGTTTCGGAGCTGACTTCCCTCTATCTAGTTTCATTCTGAGCATTTTAGCTCATTTGTTAGAGTAGAACTCAGCCTATATGACGTGAAATTTTATGATCCCATTGATATGGCTCTTGCTTCATGGGGGTGAGAACTTCAAGACTGCTTTGATCACTCTGTGTCTCCAGAGTCTAGGACCAGTACTGTTTCAAAGGTTTAGTCCACTATCTGGCATGGTGGAAAGCGTGGTGGCATACAGGCAGACAAGGTGCTGGAGAACGAGCTGAGAGTTTTGCATCTCCATCTGCAGGCAATAGCAAGTGAACTCTTATTTTTTAGTCTTATGTGCATAGGTAATTTGCCTGCATGTATGTGTGGGGTATTGGAAGTGAAAGGAAAAGTATCAAAAAGTATCCAAGTTCTCAGCACAAAAGAGATTATTTGCCTCAGACGGATAAAGGCCAGGGAATAAGAAACAAAGACAAACAAAGGGGAAAAGAAACAAAGGAGTTGAGGACAAGGGAGGCAGATAGGGCAGGGACATTTGCCCAGATGTAGAACAAAGGACTGCCTCTGGATAGACATGGCCCATACAAAAATGGCTGTTTATAAAGGAAGAAGGAGAATCCCTTGTTAGGATGAGGTGTTTAATTTTAATTGGGCTTGATAATGAGATGAGTCAAAGGGGGGTTTTGGTTGCTGGATTTCAATATTTTGATAGCTGGATCTTGGTAGTCAGTCTCCGGAGGAGGAAGTGGCCAAATAATAGACTAGACCTTGTGACTAGTTTTAGGAAAGTAATCTGATGTTTTTTTAGCAAGGCAGAAGGAATCAGGGAGAAGGGCAAGGCCTACCAGGGTCATATTTGCCATGTTCACTGTACCTAGGTTGGCCACCCCTGTGGAACTGGAGTTACAGACAGTTTTGAGCTGTCGTGTAGGTGCTGGGAATTGCACTCAGGTCCTCTGGAAGAGCAGCCAGTGCTCTTGACCGCTGAATCTTTCCAGCCCCAGGACCTGGGCTTTTAAGCTATTGCCTGTCAGACCGCACACCTTAGATGCCTTTCCGGGTTCCTGTGAACTCACCTTGAGGGTGATCACCCATATCTGGAATGGAATGGATTTACTGTTGCTATTTCTTTCTTTGTTTCCCTGTAACTCTGAAGTCGAGGCCTTTTTTTTAAAAAAGGGAGCTTGAAGCTCAGTAGAACCTGTATGCACAATGCCAAAAAACAAAAAAAAGCAGAAAGAAAGAATCCTAGGCTGCAGGTATGGTGTAAACCTACTGGGCCTCTCTGGAAGCTGTGCTAAGTCCTTTCAAATCCCTGGAGTTCTCTTGTTGGACTGATGTATCAGGGCATTTGCGGGTGGGGGAAGGGCAGCCTAAAATTCCCTAAATTTGATCAGATGCAAAGGTTGTTCCAAAGATGAGGGTTGGAAATCAAGATTAGAGCCATGGGAGACAGAGAAAGGGATCGTTTAATTCTTTGTGTTTGCCTTTGCTATTTATTTGCTTAATTAATTATCGTATTTATAACAGGCTCTCACCATGTAGCCATGACTGTCCTCCTGGAATTTGCTATGTAGGTGAGGCTGACCCTAAAATCGTAGAGATCTGCTTGTCTCTGTCTCCTGAGTGCTGGGATTAAAAATAGGCACGACCGCACCAGGCTAATTCACCTTCTAAATGACCGAGAAGGCCCGAGTAACTTCCTTCACCCAAGAAAAGAACTGATGTTTTAATTTCTCTCAAGGGAGTGGCAAATGGAGAGAGCCTTTCAGACAGCTCTGTGGTTGCTGCAGCCAGAAATCGTCTTCATTTTGGGGGACATCTTTGATGAAGGGAAGTGGAGCACTCCCCAGGTAGGATCTGGGTTCTGATTCCGCCTCAAGGATTCACTTTGGCAGCCTAGACTGTCCGTGACATTCTAGTGGCTTGGGTTGGGAGTTTTAATTCTGAAGATGGAAATGCATGGTCCTATGGCCAGGGTGTCACTCACCTTTGGACTGGGTGCTTAGCATGGGGCCCTTAGTTTGGTTCCTAGCCCCCCCCCCCCCACCCCAGTATAGTCTGTCTTGAAGATGCTTAGGGTTTTTGGTCATCTAATCTTTTATTATCTATGTAGGAAATATGTATGTGGTTAGACTGATATCATTTATATAATTGGAACACAGTCCAATAACCTTCTGGGAAAAAGAACAAATAGGCAAGATGGTGCTAATTCCCTTGTACTGGAATTGCAGAGTACATGCTGAGACAGACATTCACTCCATAGGTTTCTTTTCTTCCTTTGGGGGCATGGCAGATTGAACCCAGGGTCTTGTGTGTCTAGGCAAGCACTCTACCACTGAGCTACAGTCCTGACCCTAATTTCATCCCCGTGTTTAACTGTGCATCGAGGGAATTAGTTACTAGCCATTGTCCTCTGCTTCCTTTTGTCTGTGTGAGAGTTGGAGAAGGAGCCACAGGGACCTGGTGTGAGGTTACCTGTACTCAGGGCCTGAGGCCCCTGCTAGGTAAGGGGATGAGATTGTACATCTGTCCCCAAAAGACGAGAGCTCTCAGACTGCTCTGCTTATTATGTCCTTAAACAGAAGGAGTGGTTCCTGCTGTTGATTAAAAATGTTCAGCCACTAATGTTTTTTTAGAAAGGCATTTTTTTTAAAAAAAATGGATTCTTTGTGGTTTTCATATCATGCGTCCTGATCCCATTCATCTCCTTGTCCCTTTATATCTACCTTCTGCATCCTCCCTCCCAAAATAAAATTAAAAAAAAAAAGCCAAAACCCCCCAAACAAAAACAACCAAATTAACTAACATACAAAATAAAAATCTTGAAAAGTGTGGAAAGTGTGGAGCTGGAGTGTGACACCATGAATCACACAGTACACGTCAGCCCAGACATCAAAGTGTTCATTGCTATGAGTCATTGGTCTGATTTGATACCTCTGCTACGTTTTCAATCCTGGGCCTTTACTGGGGCTCCTCTTGGATATCCTGTTGTTGCCTGTGCCATGAAGATCCTGCAGCTTTAAATCTACAGGTCTGGCCCCTTCCCAGGCTGGCTCCAGCAGTTTAAAGAGACTTTTTATTGGGAAATATTCACCAATCCATTGGCATCTGCCAGAACAGCTCAAAAGGTATTGAAGTCTGGGGAGCTGGAAAGGGAGCGCAGCAGGTGAGCAGGTGAAGCCTGCCGGCCACAAGTGCAAAGACAGAATGACCCTGACACAAATAACTAAAATGTAGAGTAATTTAAAAGAGGCCCTGGATTGGCTACGAACCCATTGTCTAAACCACTGTACTTCCTTAGAAGCAGCCTCTAAGTAAACATGAGGGAACAGAAATGCCAAGACTTCTCAACCCTCCTAATGACTGTGGCCCTCTGATACACATCCTCATGCTGTGGTGACCCCCAACCATAAAATGAGTTTTGTTGCTACTTCATAACTGTAATTTTGCTATTGTTGTGAATTGTAATGTAACTTTTTTGGTGATAGAAGGTTGCCAAAGGGTTAGAGACCCACAGGTTGTGGACCACTGCAAATACTATATATAAACACAGCGAGTTCACCTTTATGGGGGTACTTTTGTACATTAATAGCAATAATCTCAAGATTTTCTAAGTTTTTATGCTGACTTTATGTTATCCTAATTTTAAACATTTTAAAAAATGGACCTTTGTTCTGTATTGAAGGACTCTACTTATTTTGTTAGGTAGTACTGTACTTAAATTTTTAGAATAAAATTAATACCTAGGATGGTTTTTATTTTTTGCCCACCTGAGGCTATTTGTTCAGTTGATGCTTTTAGGCTCATCGGAGTGAGAGCTGTATGAAGATAATTCTGGATCTTTACTAGTGAAGGCAAGTGTCGGAATAATCCTGACGTATTTATTGGGATGTACATCCTCTGTCTTCCCTTCACCCAGATCTCATCAATTATTGTTCTAGAGGATTCTGAAGGGCAGCATCACCCCTGTCCTGGTTGAGATGTATGAAGGCTGACTTGGTATTTACTGGGCCTATTTTTTTAAAAGTTATTTTTAAATTTATCTTTGAGGATTTCATATACTATAGATGATATTTTATCAAATTCTTTCCTCGTTTCTAACTCCTCCTAGATCCTACCTCCCCACCTAGCTTCACCTTCTCTCAAAAAAAAAAAACAAACAAAAAAACAAAACAAAAGCAAAAACAAAAGAAAAAGCCCCCAAAAAACATGGAGTCCAATTTGTGTTGGCCAACTGCTCCTGAGCATGGGGCCTGCTCTGGAGTGTGGTTGGCGTTCCCAGTTATTGCTCCATTGAAGAAAACTGATTTTCCCTCTCCAAAGAGCTGCTGATTGTGACTGACTCCTTGGCAGCGGTGGGACTTCCCCCTCCTCGGAGCTGTTTGTGCAAGTCTTACGCACACTGTCACAGCCTCTGTTATTCCCCACGTATGTCTGCCCTGTTGTGTCTGGAAGTCGTCTACCACCCCGGCTCTCACGGTCTTTCCATCTCTTCTACTGAGAGCCTTGAGGGGAGGGGTGTGATAAGGACATCCACTCAGGGCTGGGTCCTCCCAAGCCCCTCACTCTCTGCACATTGTCCCCATGCGGGTCTCTGTGTTAATTTCCCACCTATTGCAAGAAGCAGCTTCTCTGCTGAGGGCTGAATGGGGCTTTGAGCTCTGGGCACAGTAATTTGTCATTAAGACTCACTTTACTGCTGTGTTCATTTAGCAGAGTAATAGATTTTCCACTGGGCCTAGGTCTGTCTTTGCAACAATCAGAGACAGTTCCCAAACTGGGTCTTTCATGGTCTTCAGAGATCTTGAAATAAAATATTTGGGGGGGGGGTCACAGTTAAAATGCTGTAAGCTCCACATGAAAAACGTATTGAAGTGAGGCCGAATAGAAAGAGGGAAAACTGATCCCTGAAACACATGGTGGAGAGACCTGACTCTTGGAAATTGTCCCTGACCCCTCTATATGTATGCCATAGCTTGTGTGTACCTATCCCCTGCTCCCACATACATACACAAGGAATAAATAAATATAAAAAAGAAAGAAGGGAAAGGATCCCCATTGTACCTATGGTGTATTGTGTATTTCTTTTCTTTTTTTAAGATTTTGTTTATGAGTCTGAGTCTTTGCCTCACCGTGGGTATGCAGTGCCATTGGAGGTCAGGAGAGCATGTTAGGTCCCCTGGAACTGTAGCTACAGGCGACTTTTAGCTGCGATGTGTGCTATGTGGGTGCTAGGAATCAAGCCCAGGTCCTCTGCGAGAACAACAGAACCACCTGACCAGTAACCTTTGTCACAGACTTCAAAATTGACAGAGTCAGGGAAGACTGTCAAAGCCATAGGACCCGTATCCCTTGGAGCTCTCAGGCGAGAGTGTCAGAGCTGTCAGGGGTTCTCTGGTCAAGGCAGACTTGACCTTTTCAATGAATCCTATTGTGCTGGCTAGGTTTTGTCACTTTGCCACAAACTATAAAGACATGTGGGAAGAGGGGACCTCAGTGGAGAAATTGACCCTGGGAGCATTTTCTTGATTTCTAATCGATGGAGGAGGGTATAGTTCATTGTTGGCGGTATCACCCCTTGGGCAGGTGTTTCCAGGTTTATAAGAAAGATAGCTGAGCCTGGAGGAAAGCCAGTAATCACAGTTCCTCTGCGGTCTCTCCTCAGTTTCCACCTCCAGGTTCTTGCTGTGAGGTCCTGTTTTAGCTTTGCTTGGTGAATGACTATAACCTGGAACTTTTTTTTTCTTCCCTCGAGACAGGGTTTCTCTGTAGCTTTTGGAGCCGGTCCTGGAACTAGCTCTTGTAGACCAGGCTGGACTCGAACTCACAGAGATCCGCCTGCCTCTGTCTCCCGAGCGCTGGGATTAAAGGTGTGCGCCACCACCGCATGGCTATAACCCACAACTTAAAATAAGCCCTTTCCTCCCCAAGCTGCTTTTGGTGAGGGTTTTATTACAGTCTAAGCAAACCTGGGTACCCACCAATGCTGTTCTCTTCTCACTAAGCTTTTGAACAGCAGTCCTCACACACTACTGTATAATTTCATTCGCAAAAGGAAATTCCTATTTATTTATTTATATTTTTTTGAGACAGGGTCTAGCCTCGGCTGATCTGAAACTCCCTCTTTAGACCAGGTTGGCTTAAAACTTCAACTCTCAGATGCACCTCCTGCGGCAGCCCCTGGAATGTTGGAATTACAAACATGGGCCACCATGCCCGATGCTGGAAATTCTTCGAGATGAGAAATATATACGCCAGCTCATGTTTCTCTTACCTAATTTTAAACTTAATCTTTGAACCTTGTTACAAATTATATCTTTTGAATAATGTGACTTCAGAAGTCACAGAGCCACGCACACAGCTGTCTAGGCACGTGCACAACCTCCCCTTGATGCCTTCTCTTAAATCTAAACTGTGGACACTTGATAAATCTGATGCTGCTTCCCATGACTCTTCCTGAAACTCTTTTCGGTGTCATGAGTCATGATCCTGGCTTCCCTGAGTGTGGAGTCCCTAAGTGGGAAAAATTTTCAGCTTCCTGTAGCAAGTTCTACTGCATTTACCACGACCGCTAATAGATGTCTCGGAAAAGAATTAAAACTTGGTCCCTCAGTGGTGGTGTACTCCTTCAGCCCCAGTACTTAAGAGGCAGACACAGGCGACCTCTGGTCTACAAAGCAAGTTCCAGGACAGCCAGGGCTGTACCAAAAAAACCCTGTCTCGAAAGATCAAACCAAACCAAACCAAACACTTTGTCTTTGTGTGGAAGATGGGTTGCCTTCTCCAATCAAAACAGGATCCGGTTTTTGCCGGAGGGGGGAGGGTTTGAGGCTCTCAGCTGTGGCTCTTGTTCCCTCAGGCCTGGGCGGATGATGTCCAGCGATTTCAGAAGATGTTCAGGCACGGCAGCCACGTGCAGCTGAAGGTGGTCATCGGCAATCATGACATTGGCTTCCACTATCAGTAAGTACTGTGCGGAAGAATCGCGCCCCAAGAACGCTTGCTCAACCATTTTTAGTATTTTAAAGTTGTCAGGACTTGGGGAAAGCCATATTTGAGTTTTACTGAAGAAATTTGTTTTCCTTCAGAGATGGAAGTTTGGAAATGGAGGCTCCTTCAGGAATTAAAAAACTTTTTTTTGGCATATTTACACCCTCAACAAATATCTATCATGAGTGAGTTGTATGTGCCACGAGGAGACTCTAACTTAAAATGTAATTAATTAAATATTTTTATTTATTATTTTTTGAGGCAGGGTTTCACTGTGTAGCTCAGGCTGCCCTGGAACTCATTATGCAGGCCAGGCTGACCCCAAACTCTGCCTGCCTCTGCTCCCAAGTGATGGGATTGAAAGAGTTACCACACTTGGCTATTTTTTTTTTTGTCTGACCCTCAAACTTGCGATCCTCCTGCCTTCAACCTCTGGATGAAAATGGACACTTCATGTCAAACTGTTATTGAAGTCAGAATATAAGTCCACACACCGTTTGCTAGCTCACACTATAGTGTGTTATGACGCTTATGTGCCAGATATTTTAAGTACTTTCTGTGTACTAGCTTCTCCTTGCTCTTTTGCTTATTGTCCCACTGAGGTCCCAGGGAACTGAGTAATTCACTCCCCCCCCCCCAATAAACAGTGGACCTGACCTTTGAGCCTCAATTGCCTGAGACCATTTATAAATGCCAGATTGTAAAAGCTATTTTTCATATTCATGGTAACTTCACAGTGCTAAGACAGCTTGACCTGAAAAGGGTTTCTTTTTCTAATTGGATACAGGATGAGTAAATACAGAATAAAACGATTTGAAGACGTGTTCAGCTCAGAAAGGCTCTTCTCTTGGAAAGGAGTTAAGTGAGTATTGTCTACGAATTCTTATGAAACATTTTTAAAAAAAAGATGAGGTGCTGGGGGTGGATCCCAGAGCCTGAGACCCTTCCGCTGAACTGTGGTCCCAGCTTGAATCCATTGTTCAAAGGTGGTTGCCATATGGTCAGGCCCACGTCCTGTGTTACTTGGTACCTTGCTTGCTTGATGGTCGCGGTGGGAGTTGACAGATAGGAAACTTAGAATCAGCCACAATGAACAAATCAGTCTATGATTTGTAGCCGCAGGGCGATTGGTAATGAAAAGTCCCCAGACTATCTTGATACAAAATATACAGCTTTAATAAACAGAAGTAAGATTTACAACAGCTTGCACCAGAATCCAAATGATCCATCCGGACGCAGGAGGTGGGGGGGAGCTAGCGGAGTGCACTTGCTAGGTAGGTTTATAGGCAGGCTTTTGCCTGAGGGCGGCACGCCCCAAAAACAGAATATGATTGGCTGAACTCCCCTATCAATGATTCTGCCTGTTCATGGTGGGTGTGGCATTGTCTGCACTGTCCCAAGTGTTAGACATTCAGCAACCCACTTTGTCAGGGTGCCTTTGTGGCTCTTTTTGTTTTGCTTTTGCAGACAGGGTCTTGCTATGTTGTCCATGCGGTGTCAAACCCCTGAGGTGGGACTGTAGGCTCACGCCACTGTGTACATCGTGAAGCACTTTCTCATTTGATCCAAATGTATTTGTACCATTTTACAAAGGTCACTCTGATAGGTATGATATCCTGGCACTTGGTGCCAGGTGTGTCAAAATGTTCTGTAGCATTCTCTGATTCCTAGTTCATCAGCCTTAACCTTTCAAAGAGAGCAGCCTAGCCCTTAATCTGGTTATTGGATGCCCACATCCTCACAAGGCCATAAGCAGGGGCACTCTAGACCTATTCTGTGTTGTTGGTCAGTACAACTTCCGGGACTGCGTGCTCTGCTCCAGTCCACACAGAGGAGGGAACCTCTTCTTTTTAGTCCTGTCCTTCTGTGGTCCCACAACTCTGCTGATGGCGATACAGTGAGACCATCACTGTAAGGAGCTGGCGGTGAAAGTAGCATGGGTTTTCCACCAGTTCCCCTCTTTCATAACCATGCTGTGGGCACAGGGCAGTCTCCAGCAATACCTTCCTTTCTGTGTAGCCACGGGACTGAAGTCTCTGAGTGACTTCTGCGTAACTGTATTGCTTCAGACATGCTTGCCAGATTTCAGGTCACTTCAGTTCCCTATACCAAAAACTGGTTACATTTTAACCAGTTTGCTGACAAGCACCTTTCCCATACCAGGTGCTAATTGCACAGGACATAAAAGCATTATTTCCATGGGAGTCCATTAAAATGTGACAAAGGTAGAGGCTAGCCTATCTTGACTTTACCATCTTGGTTAGGGATTATCCAAGCATGCTTTAGCACCAAGCAACACTTGGTCCTGAGCATTCCTTCCTTGCTGTGTGTGCGTGTCTGTGAGCTTCCTGGGTTCCTTGTTCTTTTGAGCACACGGCCCATTGTTTCACTAACCCATCTACCACCAGGTGATGTAGGCTTTCTGGTCGTCCCTACGCTTGCACAGGTGAGACAGACTCAGGAGCTTGCCCAAGGACACGCTTCTAACTGGATGCTGGTTTGAGGGGTTGTCAGACCCTTGACTTCTGTCATGTAGGATTTCCCACAAATTACAAGTCAGTTCTTTCTTTCCCTTGGAGCAACAGAAATAAGCCCAACTTTACTGAATCTTGGATATAATGCTGTTGTTTTGTCGGTATTAACTCATAGTCAATTTAGCCGGTATTAAGCTGCTCTTGGGCCTGCTTCCTCACTCTATGGATGTAGAGTGTTGTTTCCATGGGGACAGTGGGAAAAGCGGCTCCCACACGTGCCCAGTGGCCTGACCTTCTGCCTGCTCCTGTCTGCCTCAGTTTTGTGATGGTCAACAGCGTCGCCATGGAAGGGGATGGTTGTAGCATCTGCTCTGAAGCGGAAGCTGAACTCAGAGAGCTTTCTCGTAAACTGAATTGCTCCCGAGAGGTAGGAGACCATTGGAACAGCATAGGCCTCTGCGCTCGTGTCTTCCAAAGGTGCCCTGGCTGCCCCTCTCCCCGTGGGTAAACACTGGGTTTGCTGGGTTAACAGGGTGACTTCTGACCAGCAGGTGCAAGGATCCAGCCTGTGTGAAGGTGAGCAGCGGCTCCCCTTTTCTGCCCCCGTGTTGCTGCAGGTGAGCTTGGGGAGGAAGCTAAGTCCAGCCAACCACGCTTCTGAGAGTGTCACTGATCCACTTTAATCCCGGACAGCACTACCCACTCTACCGGGCCAGTGATGCTAACTGTTCTGGTGAAGATGCCGCTCCTCCAGAGGAAAAGAATGTCCCCTTTAAGGAGAAATATGATGTTCTTTCTCAAGAGGCCTCACAAAAGGTGTGTGTGTGTGTGGTGATGTGACCGCATGCCCCTGTCACATGGGGACAGCGGGATGAACACACAGGGCCTTTGTGGTTACTAGCTTCACAAAGGGGAGGGCTTGGACACTATTTCAACTCAATCGCTTTGTTCCTTTTTTCTTTGGTAGATCCACTATTTCCTAATCTCAATTAAAATTACATTCTCGACTAATCTTTGCACTAAACATTTTTAAGTCAACTTAAATGAATTGAGCATAACTGAAATTTAGTCTAATGTGGGGTGATTTAATTAGAAATGTACTTATATATGTATGTACACGTAGACTATAGCATCTATGTATAATATAGAAATATGTTAAAATGTAAATATATGAATACTAAATGTAAAATACATATATATTTTAAATATAATTATATTTGTGGAAAGTGTTTATGAAACAAATTTATAAAAATAAAGTAATAATATATAAGTCTGTGATAGGAAGAGTGGGTTCTAAGGTTTACTAGGAATAGGGAATCTGAGGAAATATAAACCTGCCCTACCTATTAAGGATTATTGTTATTTGAGTGGAATGAGTGGCCATGTCAGTGATCCTGGCATAGCCATGGGTGTATCGGTGCCAGTCTGAGCATTAACTCCCTGCATCTTTTTGGCTGCCAGCTGCTGTGGTGGCTCCAGCCTCGCCTGGTTCTGAGTGGCCACACGCACAGTGCCTGCGAGGTGCTCCACCCGGGAGGAGTGCTCGAGGTGAGCGTCCCATCCTTCAGTTGGAGAAACAGAAACAACCCCAGCTTCATCATGGTAACGTAAACCTTTATTTTTATCTGAAAGCTTTCTGGAGTATTGAGATCAACACAGTAACCAACTATTTAGCGGCTGCAGTCTATAAAAACATACAAAAGCCAGAAATCAATCGCTCTCTTTGCACTCTTGAGTTGTATACACCGCCTGTCTGTAATCACTGATCTGGGGACACATATGCAGAACATGACTTCAGAGGGACTCTGAGGAGCATCTGCCAGAATTTTATCTCGAGAGCAGAGGTGAAGTTCAACAAGTGCCAGTTTGTTTCCAAGGGAGCAGTGTCTCTACATTAGTAAACTCTGTTATCTCTCATTTTCTAAGTGTGCTGGGCACACGGTGCTACAGAATACCCAAGTTGGGGAAAGGTGTTGACTCAGCGAAACACCTCCTTTGTAACCATGGGGCCTTGCACTCAGTCCATGCTGCTCTTCTATGGTTCTGTCTAGAAAAAGGTGGGGGTCCCGTGTGTTTTCAAGTTCAAGTAAGTGAAAACATTTGCTGCCTTGATTCCACATTGCAAACTGTGGAGACGCAGGGGTTCTTCTGGGCCACAGTGACTGCTCTGCCATCCGAAGGCAGGGATACTTCTGTCCTCTTGTTCCTCTGGGACTGATGCCTCTCCATCTCCCTTCAGGGCTACTCTACTATGTGACCTTCTCCCCGAGCCAGCAGAGCTTTGGTGCCTTTCTTTTGCTAGCACCTCTGTGGCCGGTGGTGACTTGTTATGCCCAAAGCCCCTTGGTCCTGAGTGAAGAGGGCTCTTCCCTCCCAAACCCACCTGAGGGGGCCTAGAAGACAGCCTCTAAGTCAGATTGCTGTGCCTGGGACTCACCCTGGGACTCACTCATCAACTTTCTATTTCTTCCCCAGGGAAGTCTGACATCCAGAGACTATGCTCTCTCCAAGTGCTACCTCCCGTTTGAGGACAGGGTGCTGACCACCTATGGTGCAGCAGTAAGCTTCCTTGTGCTCCTTGTCTTAGCTCACTTTGAACGCTTGCCCTCCTCTCTTCTGTCTGCTTGGAAACTGTGCAGAGTGCACACGAGAAGCTGATGAAGCCGGTGATTGTTGCACCTGGTAATATAAATCAACACCAAAGGCATAGGGCTTCTGGTGGGGCGCATGGGAGCCACGGAGGTGAGCGAATATTGATTGTCCTTGCGCACATCCTGGGAATTCCAAATCATCCATGCCAGTGGCTGCAGAATAAACAGCTGCCTGTCCTGTTCTCATGCTACAAAAATGGGACATGTACTCTACAAGTTTGCCTCTTTTGTTTTATCAAATATATGTATAATCAAAGGTTGCATCTGTACAGTATATAAATGTTATGGACACTGTCACTTGCATGCACCACACACAGCCCTGGCTTCCCCAGAAAGGACTCAGCAGTCTTGGTGCACACTGGAGGCTACGTGTGCACCTAAAAGTTGGATTTTCTCCGTCCCTCTCTGCAGTAGCTCTCGATTTCTTATAGATCATGAAGTTGTATGCTCAAAAGTACAGATTCAATGTACAGGAACTTGTTTGTTACAGGCTCTTGATTCTGTGCTGATGGAATCAGATTTTTAGTTAAGTGTAATTTTCTCTTTAGGAGACTGTTGTCACATCTGAATTCAATGCCTGTCGATGATTCAAACTTCAAAAATGGAGGATCTGGATATTTGAATTTGAAAATAAAGCATATTCTTTTTTTTTTCCTAAAGAAGTCTGGATCTTTATAATGATCAAATTTTATTTATTTGTATTTATTTTGTTCTGATTGAGCTCAGGGCTTCTGCATGCTAAGTGGGTGCTCTATCAGAGCTATAATTCAGCCCCTAGAACACTTTTAAATAGTTCTTTAGTAACAGGGAACTGTTGAGTGATAATGCACACAGTAGTATAAAACTTCACGTGTGTGTGTGTGTGTGTGTGTGTGTGTGTGTGCGCGCGCGCGTGAGCTTTTCTTCTTGCTTTGAACGTGCAGGGGAACTGAAAGTCACTTTCCTGACATGTGTGGGCTCAGCCGGAAGTTTGTGCGCAGTGGAGAGTGGTAGACAGTGGCAAGGAGCCGAGGAGCGTGCTGTAGTGACTGAGGCTGCCACCCTTTCCCAGAAGAGCATCTCAGCCACGATGAGTTTACAAAGCATTACGCGATGCTGACTTCAGTGGAATAAACTTGAGACAGCAATAAGTAGATGAATAAGTAAAGTAACACAGGCTGTCACTCCTGTGTGTTTGTACTGTTGAATATTTAACCTAGGACATCTTTACAGAAAACTCTAAACCTAAGAGAACTATTCCCAGAGCCTTGGCCGTAGGTAGTGCCAACAGTGCCCTGACGCAGCTGCTGTTACGTTCTAGGCGTCCCTACCATAACTTGAGGTCGCGGCTGCAGATCTCACATGGGGGCAGCAGCCATACATTCTGTGCTTATATTTAAAACAAAGGTTTTTGTGGGGCTGGCGTTATGGCGGTGGATAAGGATTAGCAGGAGAGTGCTTGCCCAGCATGCTCCCAGCGCTGGGCTCGTCCCTAGCAATGCAGATAGATAGATACTAAGTAAATAGCTTTGTAGTATTTCATCTTCGGAAGGTGCTGTCCTTCCTGCCCTCACTCCGCTACAACACTGACACTACTTTGCTTTCCTCTGATCACCTGTTCCTTATAAGATGGGACTGTATATGGAACTTAACTAGGGGATGGTAGGCCTGCTCCTGCCTAGGAAACCTGAAGGAGTCTTCAGAAACATTTCATCTGTGTGTGGGGGCAGGGGGAGGGGGAGAGAAAACCTAAAAAAAAAGTAGCTTCTAATGTATGCCTTGGAATCGGGTGGTCCCAGTGTTTGCAGCAGCTGAGCTGCAGAACAGTAAAAGCAGGCGGCTGCGACAGTTCCAGTGTTGGGTTGGCACTGCTGGTCAAGGAGATGACTCTGAAATCAACGATCGTCCATAAATACCAACCTGATAAAAAATATCCTAAGATGAACAGATCCCACCGATTCCCCACTGTGGATGCAGCAGGCTGTGCGGACCGCAAGCTGCTTGGCACAGCTGGGACGTATTTCCTTACAGGTGGGGCTATCACCAAGGCACAGAACGCTACAAGGAGGTTTTGTTAGGAGTCATACAAAAGAGTATTACATTTTGCGGGTCTGTACAGTCTAGTAAAGCAACAACAAAGGGAAACTAGGAAAGACCATGCCCAGCTATCAGGAAGGTGTAGAGGACACCGTCATGTATAGACAGGACACAGTTTGCAGTAGTGAATGGGGCAGCTTTTCTGCCTAAATGTAAGAGGCCCCGAGAGGCCCTCTACTCCAAATGCCCGCAGCTTACAGCCACTGCAACTGTGGCCGGAAAGAATTCCTCTTGCCCTGTGGCTGGCTCGGGTCTACTCTAAGCATTGGGCCAGTGCAGATCAGAAGGGGCAGCTACCTGCTAGCCAGAAAGAGCCGCAGTCCACGGTGATCATGCTTGATAATTTGAAACAATGTATTTCTCCGATTTATGATGCTGCCTTTGATAAGTCAGCCCATCGACCAATCAATCAAAGAATAGATAGGTTCCCACTCAGGTCACTGCAGTATCACCCATGTGAGAGTTGGTGGCTTTGCCGTGACACGGATTGGTGGTGGGAGGCTGTGCAGTCCGGTGAAAAACAAAAGCTACAGAAACCAAACCTGGGGGACAGAGGTAGCCAGAGGCTTGGTGGTCACACGTAGGCATACCTAGGACAGGACAGATGGCAGCCCCGTGACACTAAAACACTCACTACGCCCTACCATGGCTTGGGGTGGACAGACACGCAGGCTGGGGAGATAACACCGCCTCCTGGGGTGGCCAAGAGGGAGGAGAGGCGGCAGTGAGGAGGAGGGGTAGGCAGTCCTCACAAGAGTTCGTACTGCTTCAGGTGCATCCTCTGGATGATGTCACGACAGTCGTTGAACACTCTGCGGATGTTCTCCGTGTCCACGGCGCAGGTGAAGTGGGGGTAGCAGTAATGTTTGCCATCGCCTGTGGCTGTGCTGATCCTCTGTGGAGAAGAAGGTTGTGCTCAGGACAACAGGGCCCAGTGCCATCAAACGGGAGGACAGCTTAAGGGCAGTATAGAGGGGCTAGAGAAGGCTTGGACCGACTGGCTCACAAACTGCTAAGGTACCGAGCATGCCCCAGGAGAGAGTTAAACTTCCCTCAGCCACAGGCACTGAATCTGAGCTGAGGTAGGCTTTGGAGAGGGCAAGACAGGCCAAGATTTCCCGAATAGAAACTTCCAGCATTGATCTATGTTTGTCTATGTTGCCCTGGTGGACAGAAGTCTGCTAGCAGAAATATATTCTGCCTGAATATGTGGTAGTTACGGCAACTAGTGCATGCTGTTGAGGTGGGCGCAGGAGCTTGTCTCTAACTTAGTTTTAATTCATTTATATTTACCTTGAGGAAGGGTCTTGCTATATTGCCCACACCAACCTCGAACTCCAGAACTATAACCATCTTCCTGCCTCACCATGCAACTACTGTGCCACCTGATGCAGCTAATTTATTTAAGTATCCACATGTGATGGGGTTGTATCTCAGTTATGTATTCTCCACACAGGTGATCTAGCTGGCAGTGGATTGTTGCCGAGTGTGTGTGCGTGTGTGTGTGTGTGTGTGTGTGTGTGTGTGTGTTGGAGAAAAGTTCTTTGCTGTCAATGGTGGGAAGCACAAGGTTAAACATGGTCCATCTGTGAAGCTACCTGGGACAGACTAGGGAAAGGTAGGGCTGAATTGTATCTCTCCAAACTTCTGTGTTGGATCTGAACTCTCCAGATATGCCTGGAGATATGCCTGCATATCTTTATGATATGATATGACAAGATCTTCAAAGAGACAAGTATGGTTAAATAAAATCTTTAGCTTGAGCTTGAGTCCAACACAGCTGCCCTGTAAGGTGTCCCTGTAAGGGGAGGAGGTCAGGACACAGACATGGAGATGCTGATCACGGGGACACAAAGTGGGGATGCTATCCATGAACCGAGAAGAACAGCCTTAGGATTAGGTCCTCTTTTGGCACCTGACTTCAAACTTCAGCACCCAGAGCTCTGAGGAAGCATTTCCATTGGCTAGGCCTCTAGTCTGTGAGATGCTGGTCTACGGGATGTCATGTTGGCAGCCCTCAAAGTCCCAGCAGAATCATACATACTTTTTAGCTACAGGTGATCCCTGGAAGCATCCCAGAGCCTCCTTTCCAACATCTTTTGTCTGCAAAGCCTCTTGGGACACGGCCTTTAGGGAGCTCTTAGGACCACATCAAGGGTCTTGAGGAAATATTCATCTGGTTATAAAACTCCTGAGAGGGGTCAGAAGGGATGTTAGCTTCCATTGTGAGTGTGTCTGTTGCTGGGGATGGAACCCAAAACATGAACTATTGCAAGGTAGGCAAAGTACCCTACCACTGAGCTATAGCTCTGGCCCGGTTTTTCATTTTTAAGCTTAAGGACATTGAAATGAATGTCTTTTGGCTCTGAAGCACCAGGTGGGGATATCTGGCAGGGATGTACAGAACAAGTATGTTCAGAAGGGATAGAAACAAGCTGTCTTCTGTAATTGATTGGCTTGCCCCTGTTTGGGGCTGCATACATTCAGGGAGTAAGTCATTATTATTAGATTGAATTTTCAAACTTCAGTCTAGCTCTCTCATTGAACCTGATTTATTCACTGATTTCCATTAAAGAAAAAAAAAAAAGAAATGAGTTTATCAACTAGGTAAGCCAGGAATGGTAGCTATGTCTGTAACCTTAGCTCTCAGGAAGCATGGGAAATCAACGGAAAGTCTGAGGCCAGCCTGGGCTAAGTAGCCAGTTCTAGACCAGATAAAGCTACATGGCAAGATCTTGTTTCAGAAAACAACAATAGAAGTAAAAAAGATCTGGCTAGTTCTGTGTGACCACTCCTGAAGCTTGAGGAGAGTTTGCCCAAGGTATGAACTCTCAAATGTGTCTGTCAAATGTGGGTACATAGCCTAAGGGATACAAGACTGTTGCAATTCTGAGCGGTAAGACAGAGGTAGCGCAAAGGCATTATTTCATGCCAGAAAAGCTTCTGCGCAGATGGAGCAAATGATGAATCCCCAGCTCTGCAGCCTGCCTGGTGCCCCTGCCCTGAAGCTGTGAGTTCTAACTCTGAACTTCTTCTTCTTCTTCTTCTTTTTTTCCTTTTCTTTTCTTTTCTTTTTCTTTTTTTTTTTTTTTTTTTTTGCGGGGACAGGGTTTCTCTGTAGCTTTGGAGCCTGTCCTGGAACTAGCTCTTATAGACCACGCTGGCCTTGAACTCACAGAGATCCGCCTGCCTCTGCCTCCTGAGTGCTGGGATTATAAAGTGTGCACCACCATCGCCCAGCTCTGACTCTGAACTTATTATGTCTCCAACTGCCATTGGCCAAGCCAAGATGTGTGTTGTCGCCTCTGGACCCAAGCTAGGTTTTGTTCTCTGTCAGGGGAGTCAAGGTTTGTCCAAGGCTTGAGTGTGCATTTGTGAGGGCATAGATCTTTTCAAATCTTTATTTAAATGCCCAACACTTGCATGGTTGGCTAACTTTTAGTTCTTGTTACCATAGCATTTTATGGATTTAAAAAATATGTTTCTAAACTGGGTGGTGGTGGCGCACGCCTTTAATTCCAGCACTCGAGAGGCAGAGGCAGAGGCAGGTGGATCTGTGAGTTCGAGGCCAGCTTGGTTTACAAGAGCTAGTACCAGGACAGGTTCAAAGCTATAGAGGAGCCCTATCCTGAAAAACCAAAAAAAAAAAAGTGTTCTAATGACCTAACAGGATATATATATATATATAGATATAATGTAATGTATGTATTATACATAGTATATATTAATATATTTAATATGTAATACATATTATATACAAAATATAGATTTATAACAGGATATATATACAGATATGGTGTCAATTATATGATCCTTAATCATATTCTACTGCACTTATAGATTGGTGCTTAGCCCAGTAGCCATCACAGAGACTTCATCCAGCAACTGATGGGAGCAGATGCAGAGACCCACAGCCAAACATCAGGCAGATCTCGGGAAACCCCACAGAAGAGGGGGAGAAAGAACTGTAGGAGTTAGAGGGGTTGAGAGCCATAAGAACACGGCCCACCAGAACCAACTAAGCAGGGTTCATAGGGGCTCCCAGAGACTGAAGCAGCAATCAATCAGCCTGTATGGGTCTGAGCTATGTCCTCTGCATACATGGTATGGTTGTGTAGCTTGGTGTTCTTGTGGGACTCCTAACAGTGGAAGTGGGAGTGTCTATGACTCTATTGTCTGCTCTTGGGACCCTTCTCCTACGAGTGGGTTGCCTTGCCCAGTCTTTAGATGAGGGTTTGTACCTAGTCTAATTGTAACTTGTTACGCCATGTTCAGTTGATATCCCTGAGAGGTCTGCTCTTTTTTGAAGGGAAACAGAGGAGGAGTGGACCTGGGGGAGAGAAGAGGTGGGAGGGGGAGTTGGGAGGAGTGGAGGGAGGGGAAACTGTGATCAGGATGTGATGTATGAGAGAGAGAGAGAGAGAGAGAGAGAGAGAGAGAGAGAGAGAGAGAGAGAGAGGAAGAAGAATCTGTTGATTTACTATGAAATACATATATTCCCACACTAAAATGATTTCCAAGCTGTGCATGGTGACATAGGCCTGTGCTCTTAGCTATGTGGCAGGCTAAATTAGGAGGACCACAAGTTCAAGGTGAGACGGGGCAATTTAGTGGGACCCTGTCTTAAAATTAAAAAAATCTCAGTGCTAGTCCTTGCCTAGCATGCATGAGGCTGTAAATGGGCACCAGCACAAGAAAGGTTCTGAGAATCCAATCACAGAGGAGATGGCTCACTGTTTAACTTGGCAGGTCTCCAATTCAGCTGTAGACTCTTCCCCATACTGTCCTTCACATCTTGGGGGGGGGGGCTTTTGTTCCTCTCTAGCGACTTGATTAACGTACAGGGCTCAATGCACGCTGCGCTAAGTGCAGTCACTGAGCCACATCCCAGACACGGAACCTGGTCTCTTCATAGTTAGTTTCTAACTCGCCATAGGGCTTTTGAGAGGGAACCTCACCACCCTAGGGACATGGTGGTGAGGGGAAAAGGGAGGACTGACTGATGGGAGGGCTCTGGACCATCTGTACTGACTGAGCCAAGATTCTCATTTGTCTGGAAGGGGACAGTTCTCAGTATCTGTCCCGCACATGGAGTCTCAATAGGAATATAACCTTGGGAATGTCTTGGCATTTCTGTATTAAAATGATAAAAGGCTCATAGACAGTTCCACAAGTAGGTTATTCTACAACAACAACAACAACAACAACAACAACAACAACATGTGCAGGATCTGCTGACAGGCACCTCACGTATGAGACGGTAGGAGGAATATAAGTTAGTGACCAGCCTGGGCTACATAGTGATTCTGAGGCCAGCCTGAGCTACACAGTGATTCTGAGGCGAGCCTGGGCTTCACAGTGATTCTGAGGCCAGCCTGGGCTACACAGTGATTCTGAGGCCAGCCTGGGCTACACAGTGATTCTGAGGCCAGCCTGAGCTACACATACTCTGTCTTAAAAAAAGAAAATATCAAGAACTGGGATATACCTCAGTGGTATAAATGTATGTCCTGGAAAAAAACCCAATAAACCAAAAATGGGCATGACAAGCATGGCAAGTTGAGAGAGGGAGGGGGCAGAATTCGGGCAAGTTCATTTTCATGCCAGCCTGCTGGTGCTTTTGGATGGAGGTAGCCGACACCAAGCATTGAATGTGTGCACTTTAGACTCTGCAGGACTTGCTCCTGTTTGGGAGACACACGTGTGAACAGAGTGTGGCCCTGTCACCTGCTCCTCCCTTCACTACCTGGGTGAGAAATGTAACCTCTCTCACGTCGGTGGGCTGAGGCACGAGAGACCGACTGCTTCTCTCTTGACTCATGACTTAGGGAAACAGTGAGACCATGAAGGGCTAATTAGCAAACTTCAGAGAGCAAGGTTATTAACTGTAGGGTGGTAGACAACACAAGGGCCACAGAACTGCTTACCAAAAACAGATCTCGGATAAAGAACTTGGCTCTCGTAACTTTGGGATCTTCTCCCGCATCTGGTGTTGCTGTTGAAATTAAAAATGGAATTTCATTTAACTGTCGGGAAGCAAAGGTACAGAAGAACGGCAACGCAGAAGGAATCAACTACACAGGGCTGTGTATGTTCATGGCATTAACATTCATCGCGTGACAGGGCAAAATTAAAGGTAACATTTAATTTTCCTTCTCCCAAAGCATTTTAATTCTCACGTGTCTACTCTCCTCATACAGTCTTCCTCATCAAAGCATCACCAAGTGGGGTGGCTCCACTCTAAGGGGCTCTGCCATGAGGAGGGGGATACACCACTCCTATACAGGAGTCCTGAAGGAGATTGGTGTCTTCCACCGGTTGAGGACACAGAACTCAGAGAAGAGAGAGCTGGCCTCGACAGACTCCAACTCTGTTGGGGCCTTGATTCTGGATTTCTAGGCCTCCAGAACACTTTGTTTACCAATCACTCTGCCTAAGGAATTTTGTTATGGGAACCCAGACAGACAGGTTACGGCAAGTGACACCTGCTCCAGAAAGCATCTAACTGGCTTCTGGCAAGCTGTGTCCCCTCCATCTTCCTCTTCCTCTTCCAAGCTATGGTAGAGAGGAAGGCTGTGCTGTCTGGGATGCACTCCACTTTTAAAAATCAGCCTTGTAGGAGGGCTCTCTTCTAGCTACTGCTCAGGCTCAGGTTGGGGGTCCTGGGAAGTCCAATGCAGCAGACCCTCGGGCTATCAACCCAAGTATGTCCTGGATCCTCAGGGTCTGGTGATGTCTCCACCTCTAGAGATGCTCTGGTCATTCATTGACTGGGAACTGGGCACTCGTTTTACGAAGGGATAACTTGTAGACCCTTAACTGTACATATTTCAAATGGACACTTTGATACATTTCAGCAAGCATTGGCTTATCAGATTATCACTATGAACAAAGTAATGAGCGATCAAAATAGTATTCAACACTATTGGAAGTGCCCCCATTTTCTTCTGCAGCCCTCTCCTTCTATTCCCAACCAAGCAAGTATGAGTCTGATACTACAGTCTGTGTATTTCCTATACTTGACACAGCCTGAAGTCCTCTTGACTCGGATTCTTTCATCCTGTGTAATCACTGAGCCTTTCACCCATGCTGCACGGATCCACGCTTTCTTTTCTTGCTGGCTGCATCCGAGTTGAGGACTACCAAGCAGGATGGTGAGTCTGGGCTGCCAGCAGTCACTACCCATGCCAGGGAGTGATGGGTGCCCTGGAGTCGCAGACGAACCGGATACACGGTACTGCGTGAACACTGGTCATTGGGCCTGGCACTGTGGCTGGAACCAGGGTCCCTTCAGCTGTCACAATGAATCCCTTTGGTGTTCCTTTGCTGGGAAGCTCCACGTCCCCGGGCAGAGTGCATGCCACTGGGGTGGTGCTCCTTAATGGGGCATAAAGGAGGGTTTGTGTTTTAGAAAGACGGCTGTGCCGAAAACCCAAGTGCTCCAGGAAACATGCATGCATGCGTGCGTGAAGAATGTATGCACACACACACACACACACACACACA